TGTCGCACAGTTCAGTGTCGCACAGTTCAGTGTCGCACAGTTCAGTGTCGCACAGTTCAGTGTCGCACAGTTCAGTGTCGCACAGTTCAGTGTCGCACAGTTCAGTGTCGCACAGTTCAGTGTCGCACAGTTCAGTGTCGCACAGTTCACTTTCGCACAATTCAGTGTAGATGCACACAAGAATATTCTGCTTTACAAAATAGTTGATTTCACTTAATTTGTTTTTCTAATTCTTGATTACTTCACCTTGTATCTGTTACATGTGCAATGACACTGAATTATGCGAAACTGACCTGTGCGAAAGTGAACTGTGGGAAACTGACATGTGCGAAACTGAACTGTGCGACACTGAAATGTGCGGGGTGACCTTCTATTGGACACGTAACGATTGGACACCGCTCGATTGGACACGCACTATTGGACACGCATTATTGGACATCAAAATCATTGGACACCGCATTATTGGACACAAGCATTATTGGATACCGCATTATCGGACACAAGCATTATTGGACACCGCATTATTGGACACCGCATTATTGGACACCGCATTATTGGACACCGCATTTTTGTACACCGCATTATTGGACACAAGCATTGCAAGATTGGACACCGCATTTTTGGACACCGCATTTTTGTACACTGCATTATTGAACACAAGCATTGCAAGATTGGACACTGCATTGGGATTGTCCTGATTGCACACATAACCGATCGGACACGGCAATATTTCCCGATCGGACACAGGCTCGATCGGACACAGGCCCGATCGGACACAGACTCGATCGGACACAGGCCCGATCGGATACATTTTGTATCGAGTTTGCGTATTTCTGTAAAGCACAATATTCTTGTGGGTGTATGGACTTACAAATGATGGAAAATTATCTGCTTTACAGAACAGTTAACCCGGGTTAAATATACGAGGGCGGTTCAAATATGATCGAGACAAACGCTCTGACACATTTATTTATTGTCGAAAATATTTACAAAAATTTACAGTTTTTCTAGGTAATTCCCCTCACTAGTTACACATTTTTGCCACCTCTCCGGAAGCTTTTTGATGCCGGTATCGAAGAATTCCTTGGGCAACTCGGACAACCATGTGCGCACGAACTCCTCTACCTCGTCGTCGGTGTTGAATCTTTGACCTCCGAGGGCTTCTTTCAGTGGTCCAAACATGTGGTAGTCGCAGGGTGATAAATCCGGACTGTAGGGGGGGGGGGTGTTCTAGTACCTCCCACCCCAATTCTGATATTGTATCGAGCGTGAGACGCGCGGTATGAGGGCGCTCGTTATCCTGGAGAAGAATCGCACTTCGCGCTGGAATGCTCCTCCGTTTCGAGCGATAAGCGGGTTTCACGTGTGTTTTCAAAAGGTTAGAGTAGTATGCAGCATTGATGGAACGTTGTGTGCGCAGGAAGTCAACGTACAGCACTCCCCACCGGTCCCAGAATACAGTACACATAACGCTGGTTCGCGGTCGACGATTATGCGGCTCATTCTCGACGGTTTCGCGGCCATCTTTGAACGCTTTGGCCCATTTAAACACAGCAGACCTACTCAGGCACTCACTACCGAACTGATTTCGCAAACGCCGAAGAATTTCCGTGTTTTTAACGCATTCCCACACCAAAAAACGAATGACAATATGTTGCGCAACGACGGTCGGCACTTGACGTTCACTCATGGTCGTATCACGCGCGTGAAACGTGCGTTCGCGACGAAAACTATGCCACACTGTTCGTAAGGGACCCAGCTATCTCATACTCAAGCCGCGACCTTCAAAACATACAGGCGCGCCATCTACAGCGTTTGTCTCGATCATATTTGAACCGCCCTCGTATATAAATATCCATCTAGAGTCACAGTTTGCCTTAAATTTCATGTTATAAATACTTGAAAACCCATTAGAGTATCCGATCGAGTCCGTGTCCGATCGGGAAATATTGCCGTGTCCGATCGGTTATGTGCGCAATCGGGACAACCCCAATGCAGTGTCCAATCTTGCAATGCTTGTGTTCAATAATGCGGTGTACAAAAATGCGGTGTCCAAAAATGCAGTGTCCAATAATGCGGTGTCCAATAATGCGGTGTCCAATAATGCGGTGTCCAATAATGCTTGTGTCCGATAATGCGGTGTCCAATAATGCTTGTGTCCAATAATGCGGTGTCCAATGATTTCGGTGTCCAATAATGTGTGTCCAATAGTGCGTGTTCAATCGAGCGGTGTCCAATCGTTACGTGTCCAAACGGGATACGCCCACTGTGCGACACTGAACTGTGCGTAAAAGAACTGTGCAATTGAACAAACGTTGGTTTAGAAAGATTTACTATTTATAAATTAACAAAATTTCCAAATTTCCAAACAGGGCTTTACATGCATACGCGTGTGTCTGTGTGTTTTAAATTATATTTCGATAACCTGTGTCCAAAATAACGGTGTCCAATACCAATTGTACGGTGCGCACAAGAACTGTGTCCAAATGAACGGTGCGCAAAAGAACTGTGCGCAACATTATGTGTCCAATAGCACTGTGTGGAATTGCATCGTGTCCAATTGTACTGTGCGCAATTGAAGGCTTCTCAAATTTGGCGTCCTTTATCAAAGAAATGGCCTCTTCCTGGAACATTTCGAGGTCTTCTCGGGAATCAACACTCGTGATACAATCGTCGACGTAAAATGCTTCGGACATCTGTTCGTAGATCAGTCTCTTCTGCGGTGAGTTCGTCGATTTTAGAACTCGTTCGATGTGAAATGCAATTGTCGCTCCCAATAAAAACGGACTACTTGTTACACCGAAGACTACTCTATGTCGGTAGACTTCAATCTCTTCTTCTGCGTTCCACCACAAAAAGCGTAAAACATCTCTATCAGTCGGTGAGACGCTTATCTGCAAGAAAGCTTTGGCGATGTCTGCCACCACTCTAATCTTCTTCTCTCGGAATCGATGTAGTATGGCGGGAACTAATTCGATCAGGTTAGGGCCTGTCTCTAAACACTGATTCAATGACGGCGAATCTTTAACTCTTGCTGAAGCATCGAAAACTGGTCTTATCCTCGTAGTACTTCCTTTCTTGATGACCGGTCTGTGTGGGAGGTAATGTCCCTTGACGGCAATATTTTCCACAGGTACCCTTTCAATGACTCCTTCCAAAAGCCAAGTGTTAAAGACCGTATTATAATCCGCGAACAAGTCTTCCTTTTTTAGTTTTGCCGTGACCGCTCTTAATCGCTTTTCGGCAATATTTTTATTATCTGGGAGAGGAGGGTGGTTCTCCTTCCATGGCAGTAGAATTTCGTATCTATCCTCTTCATTTTTCTTGGTGGTAGATCGAAACAAGTCTTTTATCTCCTCTTGCCGAGCTTCCTTGTTTATAACTTCCATGGGATCAGTAATACCTAAAATGTCTAACTTCCAAAGTTCTGATACACTCGCTTCTTGCGTAAGCATGGAGTCAATGTCGTATCTTCTATATCTTCAACTAGGTTCTTGCTCAACAATGTCCAACCGAGTTTTGTTTCGAGGGCAGTCACGATACGATCCAATTGAATAACTTTACCCGTAAATAATTTGCCAGCGATATCGGCCCCGATCAGCAAAGTAATGGGATCTCTATTCTGTCCGATATCGGTTAAGTTTATATTATTCTTCTTGAGCTCTTCAGTCCACGATCCGCTATGTAATGTGGGAATATGTTGACATATGACATCCTCTTGAAAAACGATGAAGTCGCATTTGAAGGATCCACCCAAGCTATTTACATAAATTCGACAAGCTCTTCGAAGTTGTGGTTTCGTCTTGGTTCCGCCGAATAGTAAATGTACCATTTTCTGCTCTCCGACGATCTCGCAGTCTTGCTTCTCTGCTGCAGAACGTAGAACATACGATCTATGCGAGGCGGTATCTATGGGCGGCAACACGCACAACTATGTCTCCTCGCGAGCTACATAGCCTCACTCTCAATGTGGGCAAAAATACTTCGGTATTTATTGCGAGATTAGCCAAGCCGGTAACAGCTTTTTCGACTGCCTGTGTTTCCGCGGCTTTATTCGACTCCTGGTTGCTTGAAAGGTTTCTGCACATCAATTAACAATGTCCTTCTCCACACCATGGACATTTAAACTTGTTACGACATTTTTTATAACTATGTCCTCCTTTTAAACATCTGAAACAGGCACGATGTTCCTTTACTATTTTCGTTCGTTCGTCCATGGGCATGGTTTTAGCCTTTTCGCAAGTCGTACTTTCATGACGTGCTTGACAAAACAAACACTGCTGAATCTTTGGTTCTTTTGTAGTTAGCAAGCCTGCCACTGTAGGTATATCCTGACTGGATTTTCTTTTCTTCTTACTCTTATCTCTCGACGACTCGCTGCTCATCTCGAAGCATGTTTTGGCCATCTGTACCCGTTCCTCACTCTCGACCTCTTTGCCTAAAAATGTCATTAAGTGAGTGAGACGATCTTTCGCTGTAGTATCTGAGGTATTCGCCTGTGTTACCATGGACATTAAATATCTTTGCCAGGTACGCAAAAGCTCTTCTGGAAGCGAAGATTCGACTAATGGGAACAACATCGCTGCGCACATATCGGTTGTCACGCCCAATGATTCCAATGCCCTCAAATGTGTTTCTAATTTATCATAAATGGCCGTAAGCGTCAACCCTTTATTTTTGTTCAGCACAAGTTTCAATAATTCACGTACGTAATATTCTATCAATAAATCCGTTTTTCCAAATCGACTCTTAAGGCTCTGAATAGCTTTCTTGTAATTATCTTTCGTGGGGGGGGGGGGGAAGCTATTTACTACTTCGGCCGCGCGCGAATCCGCTATCATAGATTGCAGGAGGTAGTGAAATTTATCTTCTTTCGTTAAAGACGTATCATTATGGATCTTTTAAAAGTAACCCAAAACGATAGCCAATCTTTAATATCACCACCGAACTTTCTTAATTCTATCTTAGGCAATTTTAAGGTGCGTGTGCTTTCCTGCGTCGCGACGGTCACTGGTAACGAGGATGATGATTCCGTTGCCGAGGAGGAATTCCGTGGATTTTTTCTCTCAGTTAACTGTGCTACCTCTATCTTCGCCTGATGGTATTTAGCTAGATACTCAGCCGCATGTTCCATCTCTTTGAGGATGACGTCTTCTTCCACTTCCGTTTTCAGCATCATTTCCCGTAGCTTCTGCCTTATATTTTCCAGCTCGCTCGTCTTATCCCTTACTATCTTGAATTGTACCTTTACCGAGGTTAGGTTCGGCGGCTCCTTCGTTACCTCTGCTTGGAAAACCCCGAAGGTTCGTGTGAAGCCTGACCGCGCCATTTTCTGAGATAACTTTAGCTTGTCCATCTTACTCGAGTTATACCTGTTTCGAGTATGGTCGTTCCTGTGGGCCAGCAACTAATTCGTTCTGTCCTGTCACGGTCGCCAAGATATTGCGGCCACTCTCTTTGGGAAACTAATAAACATTATCTAAAGTGTTTTGTCGACCCAACTGGCAAGAAACTTTATTCGTGAATCTTACATCCACGAAGTTTTGACCATCCGGATTGTGGTCCTTATCAAGTGATTGGTAATAGTTAAAATTCTTATTGCGAAAAATATTACCCCAGCCAGAATTCGAACCTGGGACCTCCCTCAATCCGTGCGGGCGTCTTAGTCAGCTAAACGCGTAAACAACATCTTAAGTCATATAAATGTTATTGCGAATGGTATTACTACAGCCCCGGTGGTCGAGCTGGCTAAGACGCCCGCACGGATTGAGGGAGGTCCCAGGTTCGAATCCTGGCTGGGGTAATATTTTTCGCAATAAGAATTTTAACTATTACCAATCACTTGATAAGGACCACAATCCGGATGGTCAAAACTTCGTGGATGTAAGATTCACGAATAAAGTTTCCTGCCAGTTGGGTCGACAAAAAACACTTTAGATAATGTTAACTATTTACTGGCGACATAAATCTCTTATCTCCGAAACTAATAAACTCTCAGCTTTTGTTAATCTCGTGTCCTTTAATGACGTTCACAACTAAAACGGTACAGCTTCTTAGCTATTTCAGATTACAATGAAAAGTATGCTTAGGTACGAAACGATGCGTGCTCTCTTAATACTATCTCAGAAGGGACTGCGCGGTTATAATAGGAGGGAAAACGCACGCGAGTAAAAACGACGCCACCTATATAGCGCATGTAAATGAAAAGAAAGGGGATATCCCTCGTTACCGGCATAGTCGATACAAAAGCTATTCGTAACTGTAACGAACAGGAAAATTGACGAGAGGCCATACAGGAAGAAATCAACGCACTCACTAGAAACAAAACATGGGTGGAAACACCCCTCCCGGAAGGCAAGGAGGCAATAAGCTCAAGATGGGTTTTCAATGTAAAACAAAAACCAAATGGAGACATTTATCGGTTCAAGGCAAGACTCTGTGCAAGAGGATTTGCTCAAAAGAAGGTATCGACTATAATGATACTTTTTCACCGATAGTAAGGTACGACTCAATGAGAGTTTTACTAGCAATTGCAGTACAAAAACAGTATGACATCAACAACTTGATGTCAAAACAGCATTTCTGAATGGTGAACTTCAAGAGAACGTTTATATGCTACCACCAGAAGGAGTAATAGTCAAATCTGGCATGGTATGTGTTGAAGATTAAGTTTTCGCGCTCAAGCTCTCAGGGGCTCTCTTATGTTCTCTGCCACCTATGTCTGCGCAGTAACTGGGCGCATGCGTGCCTCATCGTATTCCTCGCTGATCACGCGTGCCCCACTTTTCTATATCTTCACTTGAATAAAGCGAGTATTACTGAAAGCACGTGTCAACTTTTATATTCCGAGTTATCCTAAGAGATCCTGCAAGTCTGCTCCAACAGGTTATGGGCCCAGTCACCCAGCCTAAGTAGATTCTCTTAGAAGAAAAGTGATCCGTGTAAAGGAAAATAAATCTCTCTCTCTCAAGTCGTCAGTCGGTCGCCGCGTGATCATCATTCCTCTGTTCTCCAAAGTGTCGGAGTGGCACAGTTCGTTAGAGCATAATGTCTGACGAGCTAAACACGCGAAACGTAACGAAATTCGATGGTTCGAATTTCCAAGCCTGGAAGTTCCAGATGAACGCGATTTTTGTCGCAAGTGGTTTGGAGGATGTCGTGTCGGGATGCCTGTGGACGTTACGACGAACGAAGGAAAAAAGTGGGTGAAAGACAACGCCAAGGCAATGTATCTCATTTCGTCTGCGATGGAGTATACTCAACTTGAGTGTCTGCTCACCAGTGCTACAGCCAAAGAGATGTGGAACAAGCTAGAAAAAGTACATGAGCAAAAATCAGCCTCCAATAAATTGCTCCTCTTGCAAAGATTCCATGAATATCGCATGAACCCAAACGAGTCAGCCGTACAGCATGTATCACGTGTACAAAACATGGCAACACAGCTGAAGGACGTTGGAGAAAACATATCCGACGTGGCTATAATGGCAAAAATCCTCGGGAGTCTACCTCCACGGTACAATGCGCTTCAGACGGCCTGGGATAGTGTAGCCGAAAATAACCAAACGCTGGACAGTCTGCTGGAACGGCTAATTAAAGAGGAAAGCCGGTTGAAGACAGACGATGAAGCCACGAGTGCGTTTACCGCGCTGAGTATAAAAGGAAAACGGAAACAACCAGCCGCAAGCACTAGCAAGGATGGTGAAAAACCCAGAGGAAACATACAAGTCAACGCAGAGTGCTTTTACTGTAAAAAGAAAGAACACTATGCTCGTGAGTGCCGCAAGAAGAAACGTGACAAAGAGGACGAAAAATACACTAATTGTAAGTCGAGTGACTGTGCCTTTATAGTGACCTCCGGTTCCAAAAGTAACAAACAAGACAAAAAACTCTGTGTGTGATGACATCGAGCAAGGACGAGAAATGGCTGTTGACACTCGATATTAGTGAAGTATGGATCACGGACAGTGGTGCTTCGCGACATATCACGTACCGGCGCGACTGGTACAGTGAATTCCGTCCATGCAGTGGTGAATCCATATCACTCGGCGACAATGGTGTGCGCGAAATTCTCGGAGTGGGCACGGTCTTGATTGATAAGCTAGTGAACGGTAAATGGAGTGAAGCGCGAATCGAAAACGTACTGTATGTTCCAAAACTGCGAAAGAACCTGTTCTCTGTTGGTGTGTGCACTTCCAAACAGTGTGAAGTGGTGTTCAAAAGGAAGAATGTGACCTTCAGCCGAGACGGAGAAGTTGTTGCCACGGGTATAAAGCAAGACAACGAAATCTACAGAATGTTTTTCAAGGTCAAACGCCCTCAAGTCAGCAGTGAAATCAACACTACCACTACAAGTCTAAAGGTATGGCACGAGCGCATGGGGCACATAAAC